AAAGGATGTTTTGCTGCCTCTCACAGCAGCTGGAGTCTGAGACAAACACATTTAATTTAAGACTTCTGTTTGCAGTGGGTCTAGGTACCATGTCTGAAGGGTTACTTTTGGTTCCAAAGGTATCATACCGAAAGTGTTTGGTTGAAACAGGGCTTTTTACTTTCACTTTCGCCAGCCAGGGTGTTTACAAACAACAACCAACAATCCTGCATAGTAAACCTTTAATCATGTTGAACAGGTTTTTCTGTTTGTAATTGCTAAACGTTAAACACAACTGTTAGCATATTTTATGTACACAGAAGCATTGCTGATACTGAATGTGTTCATGTGTGAGAATGTCCATGCGTTTTTTTGTATCTATTGATTCCTGTGTGGCCATTTCAGGCAGGCCAGTCATCAACTGTGATAGAAAACATTCATACAATCATTGCTGCTGCTGCTGTGAAGTTCAGTTTTGATCAACTCACCCACCTCTTCGTCCTCATTCAGAAGGTCAGTGCTGTCTCTGTGACATTTTGGGGCTAAATTGACTCAGTGAAAAGTGGGTTGTAAGTCTGCGCACAGTGGTAATAATCTGTTTGCGTGTTGTTTAGAGCTGGGAGGTCGAGAGCGACCGCGTGAGGCAGAAGCTGCTCAGTTTGATCGGGAGGATCGGCAGAGAGGCTCGCTCTGAAACTACAACAGGAAAGGTATGTTGGTGTATCTGTCATTCTGTCGGGGCTAAAGACAGCGAGAAGTAAACAGGAGAAATAGATGTTGAAATCTGCAGTGTGTTAAGTTTCATTGTGAAAGTGAAGACAGAAGCATCTTGTGTGTGTCTGTTTAGGTGCTTGAGGTGCTGTGGGAGTTGGCTCACCTCCCCACCCTGCCTACCAGTCTCGTTCAGCAGGCGTTGGAGGAGCACCTGGGGATTCTGAGCGATGCCTACGCTGTCAAGGAGACTGTGAAGCGCAGTTACATCATTAAATGTATTGAGGACATTAAGAAGGTGAGACAGACGCGCTACAGATGCCTCCTATTGTCCCTGCGGATGTGGGGGCGAGTGTTTATTGCAGTGAAGTGTTTTACGAGGTCATTCCAGGATCAGCTCCAAGAGTAATTATATTTGTTGTTGACTTTGTATTTACATGAATGAAGACGATGTGCAGCTCCAAAATGCAGTTTGACATATTTAAAGGAAACTCTACACTGGGCTCTTACATGTCTCTGCCTGCTGTGACAGCTTTGTTTTTAAGTTAGCACGTCCTTGTTAGTGCTTCCCTTCAGTTTGTTTACATCTCTTCCATCTATGTCAACATTCCATGGAGCTGTTGTGGAGATGGGGCCACTCTCTGGCTTGCGTTTAAAACAACAAGTGTCTGTCAGAGTTTATTTCTTATTTCAAACCTCAAGAAAAATGTCTTATTTCCTCTCTTGGTTCATTCCCTTGATCCCTCTGACCGTGCCAGAAATATTGTGACACTACAGAGGCTGATGTCACCCAGTCTCTTCTTTCTTTATCATCCTGTTCCAGAGCGCTGCCTCAGTATTTATTTGAGTCCGTAATTTCCATAATTAATTCAGATGTAGGGCATGGCGAAATAACGACTATGTACGATATATATTGATATATTTTCAAGCAAGATATAAATTTAGACAACACTGTTTATATCGATATAGGGTCAAGCTGCGTTACATAACGCATACCAGTGACACTCAGCGAGACGCAGAGCTGCTCCTCTGTTTAATCTGTCTGTTAATTAGTCTACAGTGTGACATCAGTCTGTATGTTGCACGTGCTATGCTGAATCAGTCTGTGAGGTGAATTAATTGACCTCAACACATGAGCAGTACAGCACTGACCTTCCAATTTGTGTGTGAGGTGGATCATAGCGTGATGCCATTCTTCTTCGTAGTTGTAGTCTACTTTTTGACAACGAGACAGCGCCTGGATCCCAGCAAGCAATAGTCATGATTTAAACGTATTGGCTATATTTAGCTCTGATTTAGTCTACCTACATGTGACCCAAATCTAGCGGATTTAATTTTGAAATTGATTAAATGTAATTTTCGCCATTGCAAATGGCATGCGGTATGATATTCAATCACGTATGGAGAGTCAACAGTAATTAAAATATGTTTATCTCCATTTTTTGGACACGGTCTCTACATAGCCGTATAATTGATGACGTCTACACTTTGGCTATGGTTAGACGTCTACCAAATTTTCACTGACAGCCCAAATTCAGCCATGATTTAGCCTAGACGTCAGGTCTCATGTAGACAGCTATTAGATGTTTTTTAAACCAAAAAATGCTTGCTGGGATGCAACAGATGTGTTTAAAAAATGCAGCGACAGCACAGACATTTCAAATACAAGATGTATATAACGTAGACAAAGTGTCTCTCGCTCCTTCCCTCCCTCAGCCTCTCTGTTGATGCTCTGCGTATAAGTAAGATTAATAGCATAAATATATGAACAGATTTAAATCGTTTTCCATCACTAGATTCATTTGAGAGGCCAACAGATGGAAAACGACTTTTTAACTCCACAAAGATTAAGTGTTCCAAACTACAATAGATTTAGGCCTTCTTGATACTTTTATTCTCATGTTATGGTTTTGTGTCCTGTGCTGCAAACCTTTAAACCTCTGTAGCTCCAGGGCTATGTGCAAAAACGTTAACATACAGCCCTGCTATTTATTTTATATCATTTTTCATTTACTTGTTGTGCAGCTGCATATTTTCAAACGGGGAGAAAATCCCTGTCTTTGCATTTTATTTTGATCACAATGTTTCCATCCAAAAGTGATTTGAATCATTGGGAAATGCGCATTAAAAGAAATACGAATCCTGTGTGTTTCCATTAAATGTACTGACTTTGGTGATAACTATGAACTCGCGCTAGTTTTCCGCAGAACCGGAAACAAAACAAGTCTCGCATTCTTCTTCTTCTGCGTTTTCTGGCGGTTGGCAACCAGCTTGTAAATGCATTACCGCCTTCCTGACCCGGAGTGTGGATATCACCATGGAGAGAGGTGCGCTACGTCAGACTTAATTCAAACATAACTGTTTCCATCCCCTGTTTTGCGAATTAACATTTTT